GGAAAGTAAATCTGGATTAAAGTGGAATTGTGTTACTCAAATTTCTAGTTAGCTCAATATATAAAAGAAGGGAAGTCTTTCATGGACCTGGAAGTGTTAAATAGATTGCACGTCTATCTTAGCTTAAGTCTCCTTAGATGCCCAGTACCTGTTTGTCTTCAGTTTTGCAGCTTAATAATTGGCTGTAACTTTAACCACTGGCAAAGTGGATTTACCGTAAGTCTAACCAGGTGTCATCTAGTTACTGCTTTCAACGTGTAACTGAAATTGTCCTATTCTTGTCCTATTCTCCACTTTAAGTGATTACTTAGCAAATTCCTGATACGCTTCCCTGCTTGGGACATAGAAAAAGAGTAAATTATTAAAGAAAGATTAAGGGAAGTACAAAAACCGAGCACCATTTATTCAAAAATACATCACCGATAAAGATTCTCTAGTTAAATGATATTTAATTTGCTGTCAACCTATTAAAAGACTTGCAAACAGCTTCTTTATCTTCTTCTGGGAAAAACCCCCATAAAATTAGACAAATAGTTTATAACCTTTTGCTATACTTATTTTGAGTAAGAGGGAATCTGAACTGCTATTCTTAACACCCACCAATGTTCTAAACAATTTTAAAAGAATTAAGGAGAAATCTAAACAATACTGACTATTAATGACAGAAATATTAGCCTAGTACTCGATACTCTTGAATAAAGCAAACAAAATTGCTATCACTACAATGAGAGCAAATTGTAAAAATTACATTTATTCAACACAAAATGGTAGTATTTATTAAAATTTTATGCTGCTTAATATAAAAAAATTATCTAAGACATTTACATAAAAACTGTGAAAATACAACAACATTCAATCTAATTTCCTAAAAGCTGGGGAAAAGTAAAATGATACATCACAACTAAAAGTTAGCAGGATACAAAACAATAAATTTAAACATTTAATATCCTTTATATCCTTTCCCCCTGTGAGTTAAATCCTTCATCCTTGATCAAAATCAAATCTCCATTACAGACTTTCCACAAGCGTACAGGACATAGCCCAGTGCATAGCAGTTTATTTGGCTCAAGGCTTACTAAAAGTCCTTTATAATATAAATTTTTCCTATACTAGAATGGAACAGCACAACTCCAGAGAGCATAATGGGCTGGTTCAAACAGAACTGGAAACTATGGCTTCCTGCTATATGAAAGAGTTGTAGACTCATGAATGCCCCCACACCAGAAGACGAAATTAGAAATCTACTTCCAATTTTATCAAACCATGACCAAGCCAGTATCAAACCATTGTTTTGGATTCCAGCTTGTTCACAAACCCATAGGTTAAGCAAACTATGGTTCAACTCATTTGGATGCAAGGAAGGGCTGTGAATAGTTTACAGCTGGAAGTGGTGGCTACTCATTCAGAGATTCAGACGTTCTATCATCTGAGTAAATACAAACCAGACAACCCTGGCTGTCTTGTTGTCTGTGGCATTGGCACTATCACAGTAAGGATTTTTAGTTACAGACTTAATTTACAAGCTGTGTGCTGCTATCCCTAGTTATTTACTGAGATAAGCATACCTGAGATAACAATAGCCCATTAACTATCTTCCACAGAATGCTATTCCAACAACCTTAGATGCCGAGGTTCTGTACACCAACATCCCCCACAAAGATGGGCTACAAACTAGGGATACTAGCCTTGATGCTGCCACAGCACATCTGGATAGCATGCTTTCCCACTGTGTCCTCACCCGCCATTATTTATGAGTAGGGTTATAGGGTTTTAAGTTAAATGCATTGCAATTGGCACCAAACATGGTTCCATCGTGCCAACAATTCATTTCCCAGTACCTCATGTTTACCGGAGATATGCTTGGCATCATCTAGACCAGCCTTTCTCAACCTGTGGGTCCCCAGATGTTGTTGAACTACAACTCCCATCACCCCTAGCTAGCAAGGCCAGAGCTCAGGGATGATGGGAGTTGTAATCCAACAACATCTGGGAACCCACAGGTTGAGAAACGCTGATCTAGATCCATCATCTAGGTTCCACCAGAATTCAACCCATCCTCAACCTGAGCTTGGAACAATCCATTCAGCAAGTTAATTTTCCAAGCACCATGATGCAGTTATGAGGACAACCATCACCTAATACCATAAACTTACTAACCACCAGTGCTTTTCTTTTCAGAGGGTAGTCAAGGGCACATCTTTATGTTGTGTGGCACTTACTGTAACGACTTCATGGTGAGTACTTGCACCTATTTTTCTAGGGGGGGGGAGCACTGCTAACCACCATACATCAGCTTCTTTTCAACTAACTCAAATGTGCATCACACAATCCATCAACTACAGTCATGCTCTACAACACAACTACATTTGTTACAGCTCATCAGACAAGAGCTAGCGCTAGAACAACAACAGGGTGTCTTAAAACTGCAGTAGTCACCCAATTAAGTTAAGAATCAGATTGAAAAGCTCAGACTGGTACTCAAGAGAAAACTGTTATGACAGGTCCAGAAGAGAAATTGACAAAACATTTCTTGTCAATCACAGGCCCCAGCCAAAATGTAACTACAACCCATTCAGAGTGATACTTCTCCTTCAAATGCCTTGGGGAGGAGACCAGCTCTCATTCACAGACTGGCCCCTATTCTAAAATGGCTACTCACCTACAACTATTTAACAAAGATGCAAACCCAGGAACTAAGCTCTGGAACAAACTCAGAGGCAGACTCTGTTCCCATATTTATTCAGGTAACGCTATGACAATACATGGCAACATCTGCCATACTATCACGAGGTTCATTCACCTGCTCCACACCCAATGTGTTCACATATGCAATCGCCTGCCATGATGCCTACATAAATAAAACAAGCCAATGTTTCAACACAAGCTAATAAATGGGCACAATTCTGACATCAGAAATGACTTCATTAAGAGCTTCCGTCTTCCAGGAGAATATTTCAGTCTCCCCAGAAAGGGCACTCTGCTGCTGACTTGAAAGTCAACATGGTTCAACAAGACGACTTTAAAGAGAGGCTCACATTCAAAACTGCTGAACGAGAATTTGTCAGGAAGTTCTAGCCTAGATAGATCATTCAAGATTATAGTTCACAACAGCTGTTGAATTAGGATAGCATAGCTACATGTTTAACATTGCTATTGGGAATGCCATTGTAAATGGGTCAGTCTCTTTTTTTATCTTGTATACCAGAAGTTGGCAGGTAATGTACTGAGATCTCTTGATAGCTTTCTGGGTAGATAATGTACAAATTTCCGATTTCCAATTATTTAACATGAACAACACAAAAGCTTTCCTGATTTGAGGAATGGGGTGAGGAGTGGATTTTTGTGTGAGCCTTATAGGGTGGTACTCAATTATCTTTTATGAGTAGGCCCACTGAAATTAATGGATTTGTGTTAGCCATGTTCATTCATTTCAATGGGTCTACTCTGAGTGTAACTGTTGCATGGGGTGGAGGGGAGGAGATGAGAAGATTTAGTAGCAAGGGAAGGACAAAGGTTCCACACAACCAGTCCCTTACCTCCCTGGCACCTTCACTGAAGAGAAATCAGGGCTGGCAGCCTTGAATCTGAGATTTTTGTACTGTAGTTACATTACTGTACTGTACTTACATTTTGTACTGTACTCTCTGGAAGAAGGTCCAGAGAGAGGAAAGGTAAAAGGCACACTGTTCTTTTTCTCTCTTCTAAAACATCCTTGCATAGTACAAAGAGATTGGTTCTAAAGAACATACTTTCCCCACCACAACCAATGCTTCCCCAAGACAATTTGTTAGGAGCCAGGCTAATTTCCTCTTTTTTTACTACTACTGTACTACTTTCTCTCTCAACTGCCACCACAACATTCTGAGCATCCTGCAAACTCACAGGTCACGGGAACCTCTTAGAAAGTTTAACATTTTGTTTTTCTTTTAATTCACAAACTTACTTCTGTATACATATGCATCCTCCCTACTATTACTATTTTTTTAATTGCTATTCCACTTGCAAAATATACAGACTTAAATTGCATAACAGCATGCAACCTACATGAGTGTGGGTAACAGAAACAAAAGAAAAAATGAAATAAAAGTCTTATGTTTTATAAACTGGATCAAGAGAGAAAAGAGATGGAACAGTTACAATAACAGTTTATTTTAGTTACACATCTCATTTAGACTGGCAAACACACGTAAGTAACATTGTAAGCATGTCAGTGATTTGGTTTTACATATTTTTGTTTTCATCTTTGAATAACTGGCCAGAAACAGTCAAATTAACAAGAAGGAGGGGGGTGGGGATAAAGTAAAGTATATACACTACACTACATTCATTGTAAAAAAAAACTACAGGTCCTGCTCTGCCATATGTGTAATTCAGCTGAATGTTTTCCTGCTTTGAGTTATACAGAATGGTGTTAATATTCAATACTTGGCATCTACACAACAAAAGCTTATATATGTTTATACTTCTCAGAGTCGAATTCTGCTCTTAACCATGAATAAGAGACAATTTAGGGACTAGCTCTTATGGACAGAATCCAGATGGGATTTGCATTTAATTAGGAATTCCAGATTCTCACCATGGTTCCCACTTCTGAAAATGGAGCATTTTTCAGAGCATGTCATACCTAACTCATGCCTGGTTTAAAAAATGCCTTTAAGCAGGTCGGAGGTCAGATTCCATGCAATGACCACGGGGGTCTCGGACAATAGGTTCCCATATGACAGACTCTGCATATGTGGGCCAGCCACAGGTGGAAGACAGCATGCATTACTTGTTAATCTGTCTTTTTTTATAGGGATTAAAGAGACTGATTTCGGAAACCTTTGCTAATTAGGCTTACTAAGGCAGAAATGGTTCCCTTTATTTTGAGCGACGCCAACAGATTTGTGACACATAAAGGTGGCGCTTTATGCTCCAGGTGCAAGAAAGAATCGTAGAATCGTAGAGATGGACGGGACCATGAGGTTCACCTAGTCTAACCCCTTGAATGAAGGAATCTTTCACCCAACACAGGGCTCAAACCCATGACCCTGAGATTAAGAGTCTCAGGCTCTACTGACTGAGGTATCCCGTGATCACACACAGAGAGAGAGAATATTGCAATAAGTTGCACTGGAGATTCAAAGGTCTAACAGAAGTTAAGCTAGGTACAGTATAAGCTAGCAGGTGATACTTATGAACTCTGACTCCCTTGCTTTATGTAATTGATTGTACGCGGTATGTTACGGTTCACAGTTTGGCAATTTGTAATGTTATAGGTAAAGGTAAAGGGACCCCTGACCATTAGGTCCAGTTGTGGCCGACTCTGGGGTTGCGGCGCTCATCTCGCTCTATAGGCCGAGGGAGTCGGCGTTTGTCCGCAGACAGCTTCTAGGTCATGTGGCCAGCATGACTAAGCAGCTTCTGGTGAACCAGACCAGCACAGGGAAACGCCATTTACCTTCCCGCCGGAGCGGTATCTATTTATCTACTTGCACTTTGATGTGCTTTCAAACTGCTAGGTTGGCAGGAGCTGGGACCATGCAACGGGAGCTCACCCCGTTGCGGGGATTCGAACCGCCAACCTTCTGATTGGCAATTCCTAGGCTCTGTGGTTTAACCCACAGCGCCACCTGCGTCCCATTTGTAATGTTATAGCCTTTGGTTAATAATAAATAATAGTAATAATAGTAATAACAGTAACAGCAACAACTATTTTATTGTTTATGCCGCGCTCATCTGCATCTGTCTGGGTTTCCCCAGCCACTCTGGGCAGCTTACAACACATATAAAACCACAGAAAAACAGCGAACATTAAAAACTTCCCTATACAGGGCTGCCTTCAGATGTATTCCCAAAGTCGTGCAGTTGTTTATCTCTACAACATCTGACAGGAGGGCATTCCGCAGGGTGGGTGCCACTGCCGAAAAGGCCTTCTCTGACTGGTTCCCTGTAACTTCACTTTTCACAGTGAGAGAACCGCCAGAAGACCCTCTTAAACTCATTGGTATATACTTGTGTAATTAATAAAATTGTGGTAGACTGCACAAAAAATGTCCCATTTCTTTTTTCTCTTTTGCCACTTTTAATTTTTGTGTTAGTTTTTCCAGCAGTGCTGCCTGCCATACAACATTATACTACTGCTCTGTGTTGTAAAGATTTCCAGGGTCTGCCTATGGTTCCTTATTTGTGATTTGCTCCATATCCTGACCATATAAATTGAGTAACGCCAAGCCAAGGGCCATAGGAATTATCTGTGCCATAATCAGTGATCTCTCTCCAAATATATGCTTCCAAAGTTTTTCTACTCTCTGGCACACTCCTGCCACAGGGCACTCCCATCCAAAGTAGAAAATGTTGGTACATAATTATACTAGAGCATCCTGCACATTGGACAGCTATTTGGTTTTATTTAGGATAGATGCCAAGGAGTTAAATACCATCCCGTGTACAATCTTGAAAGTTCTTTCCCTGGTTGTTGCTGAAAGGACGTATATGATGCTTTTGGCCATAGTTTATTCTGTTCCTCTTCTTCTATGCCATTCCAGTTTGAATTCCCACCAACTTTTCAAAGTTTGTTGAGGACAGAATTGTGATTCTATAATTTATCTACATATAAATGAGATCAGACCCTTTATCATTGTGTTTTCTCCCATGACTATTTTCTCATATGCTGTTAATTGTCTCATAACTTTTTTTAAAAAAAAATCTGTACATTTGTTAAGGAGGATCTTAATTGGTGCCCCAATAGCCATGAAATTTGAACATTCTCCAGTTGAGTTTATAACTCAAGTTACTGTCAGCGGCTGTCCTCCTTTGTAATCTGCTTTTTTTAAAAATACAACTGTTTTTCTTTCCCCACAGCCACATTGTAAGATCTATACTTATTTTCAAAAAGCAGGTAGCAATGAAGTGAAATTAAAGGAGAAAGACCCAACGCTAAGACCTTTGCCCAGTATATTCAAATTATAAATGTTGTATGCCAGTGGTTTTCAACCAGTGTGCTGTGACACCCTGGGGTGCCTTGAATGATGGTCGGGGTGCTGCGGGCAACACTGGCCTCTGTCCCTCTTTCTTTCCTTCCTTCCCTCCCTCCTCTGACACCCTCTCATGTCTCTGCCTCCCAAAGGCTTGCACAGCTATTTGTTGCAGCAGCCCTGGCTACAAGCTCCCCAGGCAAATGGTGCCTCTGGGGCTGGCCAGGGGGTGCTGGTTGCCAGGAGCTGAGGCAGCCTCAGAGTAAGCAAGCAAGCAGGCGAGGGAGCCCAGCCAGCCAGTCCACCAGCCCTTGCCGTTGGGAATGGACAGACAAGTCCCAGGCCTCTGTGGGGCACTGTGAGGAGGCACCTCTCTTTGGCACAGGGGTGGGGGCAGCTCAGAGACCAGAGGTGGCATCTGTGGCTGCTCAGAGGGCTCCCAAGGAGAGGTGAGAGGAGAGGAGCCTGAGGGAACACTTCCACAAGGGAAGATGTTTCTAAAAAGGGTGAGAGGCTGCCAGCTGTGCAGGCAAGGGGTGACAAATCTGATCCCCACAGGGGTACCGCAGAAATAATGTACAGTTGATCAAGGGAGCCATGGACTCAAAAAGGTTGAAAACCTTTGTTGTAAGCATTTCATGTTCATGTAAACATGAACAGATCCGTAAACCAATGTTTCCTATGTTCCTAGCTTACTCAGCAAACTTTGTGGTCGAGCAAGAATTTGAACCCAGGCCTCTGAAGGAGCATCTCCACCAGCACTCCAGCCCGGACACTAATGTCCAGCTCAGAGGGCTTTCTGGTGGTTCCCTCACTGCAAGCAGAGAGGTTACAGGGAACCAGGCAGAGGGCCTTCTTGGTAGTGGTACCCGCCCTGTGGAACGCCCTCCCATCAGATGTCAAGTAAATAAACAAATATCTGACTTTTAGACGACATGTGAATGCAGCCCTGTTTAGGAAAGTTTTTAATGTTTGATGTTTTATCATGTTTTTGATATTCTGTTGGGAGCCACCCAGAGTAGCTGGAGAATCCCAGCCAGATGGGTGGGGTATAAATAATAAATTACATTATTATTATTAATTATTATCATCATCATCATTGGTCTAAATTCAGCACTCTAACCACTACACCATACTGGCGATAAATATCACAGACTTACTACCCCCCCCCCCGCCAATCACACATGCACATACCAAGAATGTTGCATTTGGTATAATATATTAACATGACTTAAACCTACAAAATGTGTCTCTGAGGCCTGATGTGATGCTCAGAGCCCAGAATTTTCCACACAAGTAAGGTTTGGGAATGAAAATGCCCTCTCAGCAGTGTTAGGGGGAGAGGGGGGGGGAACCTGAAAATTCAAAGACATGCCAGCCCTTCCTTGGCTCCAGACATTAATGAAAATAATAACTACAAGGGAATTAGCTTCCTGCCCATGTTGACCTTCTCAGTGGGACCTTTTGCAGGTATCTGCTTCCCCCCCTCGGAAAGAGGGTGCTGTTAGCAGCAGTTGCTGTATAATTACTTACTTGATTCCTTCTAAGGAGCTTAGGCTAAGAGTTGAGCAAAGAAAGCAGATTAACAGTTTGAATGCACCCACACACACACACTCTGGTGGCTGGAGGGGGCGCTCCCCAGCCCTACAGATGTGCCCCAAGAAATCTAGTCCTAATCCTGCTTCAACAATGGGGTTTTCATTAATTGTAGGGTAATTACGCCTTGCTTGTGCGGGAAGCCAGAGAGGGAGAGGGGCAGGGAGGAAGGGGCTGCCATTACAAGGTGGGAATGAGGCTGTGGGAGATAGAGCTCCTCCATCCTCAACAGTCAGATTAGTACCAGGGGATGAAGAGGAGGAGGAGGAGGTGGTGGTGATGCGGCCAAAGGCTCTGCCAGTCACATGCTTCCCGGCGTTGCCTAGCAACAGCAAAGCTCAGAGAAAAAGTTCTCTCCTGCAACTTCAAATCTGCCAGGGAGAGCCTGACCGATGGGAAGGGGGCTTATTATTCTGCTTTGGACAAAAACAACAACCGTTCTTTGCTTTGCAAAAAGGAAACACACACACACACAACCCCTCCAGCGTACAAATTTGCACAAATTTCCCTCCAATACATATATATATATTATATATATATATTCATTGCAACTAAAAATCGCGCGCGCACACCGGTTCAAAGCCACCCCACTGCAAGACGACGGTAAGCGGATGCACCTTGCAGCAGCAAAAAAACAAAACCACCCTCACGGCCCTCGTGCGCGCGCGATTTAGAGTTGAAATGAATCTATGCCCAATATATATAAATATATATATTTAGAAATTGCAAAGCCAACCAACGGTCGTCCGCACGAGCGACTAGCACCAGCTCGGCCCGCAACAGTTACAAAACTGCTGAGAGGATGAACTCGCGAACACAAACGCGGGCTGGCTGAGCGCGCGCGGGGCAGGGGGCGGGTCCGGGTGCGAATTCGGCGCGCCTTGGAGCGAGCGCGTTTGCGAGAAAATCCCTCCCCGGCGATGGAAGAAGCTGAGCCCGCTTCTTTGTCGCTTGTCATGCGCGTCCACTGTTGGGAGGGAGAAAGTTATTCTCCATAGAGGATCCGCTAGGTGGAAAAAACTAAAGGAGAGCAAGCCCCCTCCCCCCACCACCACCCTCAGTCCTCTCTTTCTCCCCTCCACCATAAAGACAGGGAGAGAACTTGCCTGCCCCCTCCCTTAAAAAAAAAAACACTTAAAAGTTGTGGGGTTCCCCCTGGAGCTGCAAAGGCGCGGGGGGGGGGGGCTTACCTTGGCAGGCAGCTTGCAAGATGCATGCAGCAAGCAAGGCGAGCACTTGGCAGGCAGCGGCTGCTCCGCCGTCCAGGCGCCGTCGAGGTCCCATCTGCGCGGGGATGCTTGCAGGGAGCCCTCGCAGCCACGCAGCTGGCCGGGCTTGGCGAAGAAGGCGCGCTTCTGCAAGCACCTCTCGGGCTGCCCTCCCTCTGTCTGTCTGTCTGTCTGTCTCTCTCTCTCCCCGCCCGCCCTGTCTTTCCTGATCCCGCTAGTTGCAGAAAAAAGGCGCGCTCGTCAGCTGAGGCATCGCTTGGCCTCGACGCTCCCACCCTCTCCAGACATTGCAT